GTCGTAAACTATCTGAGCAATTATATTGAAACTAGCCGATATATATGCTCGAGTTCTATGCCAGCGATTGCGATTTCGATCACGCCGGTCGCCATATGAGCGCCTCGACCGCACGGACATATTTTGAAAATATTCGGGCCTTGGAGACGGTCCAGACGGTTATATGGAAACCCTGCTGTGCGCGACTGATTTACCCGGGGGGAGATGCTTGGTAAAAGGAACATTGCGCCAAAGGGTGACTGCAGATTCTGATATGTGCTACTTCAGGTGGTCAGTGCAGAATGCTAGTATTCTAACCCATATCAAGTTATCGCTTCGAGAAGTGTAAATTATTTTTTTTCCTCAGAAGGCGTATGCCTTCCGACTCATGAGACAAGTTGCGCCTCCAACTTTTTGATCTGTGGATGAAATACTGTTGTGTTACCATTCAAATGAAACCTCTTTGTCAGACCGTTTTCTGAGTGTGATTTACATCAAGGAAATTCAAAAGGAGAACTTCATTTTTTGCGTGTAAAAAAGGCACAAAAAGAAGTGAAAGGCTTAAGGGTAAACTAAAGCTTGAGTCACGCCCAGATTGATGTCCAATCCCATGAAGCATACCTGTTCCTTTGCAAAGGGTGCCCTCCCCAAAAAAGTGGAAAGGAGTATAAACTAAACTATATGAATATATAAATTTGCGTAGGGCCAGTCAGTCACGTCTTTTAAAATTACGTATTATAGCGTTACCTTGTAGTAAATACTTTGAAATATTCTAAGAATTACTTTTGTACTATCTAAATGACGTTTGCTTGATCATTGACTTGTTTAAAACGTAATTTGTAACTTTTTCCAGCAGTTCTAATGTTGGCTTCGTGAGAGGAAATTTGCAAGGGAGTTTCTTTTTTACAACTGGCTCTCTGATGTAATACCTGAAAAAACGATGACAACAGATAAGTAAGCGTGGTAGCGCTTCAGTCAATTTCAGCTGCGCCCTTTACTCCCGGCAACTGCAGGGCATTCGCGTGCCTCGTCAGTCCCTGGAGATTAGTGTGCCCCACGGGACAGGCATTTGCTTAACCGGGGCTATCCCCGGCAGGCGTTTTGGCACACAACTGGTTTCCGATTTGAAATCCAAACATGGACGACCTTATCGGAAGGATCAGCATTTCGTCGCAGATTGGCTTGTAAGTCGAATTGAACAATCTTTGTGAATTCTTTAGATTTAAAGCTTGCCTTAATTGCTTATAAAGGCACAACCAATGTATAGCGAAAACTGATACAGTGTTGAGTGCGGACGATCCGAGAGGCAGGGCACTTGTCCTCCTCCTTCGTCTCCACCGCGGGGCATTTGGCAGCTGAAGTGTCCCATTATCAGGGAATTTCCCACATAAAGAAGAAATGCCAATGTCAGGGGTTAGCCCGGGGGAGAGGATGGGCGCAACTGAGACGCGCAACTGGAATTTTCCGATGTCAGGAGCCGATTACTATAGTTAGTGAGCTCTTGCCGATGTATAGATTAATAACAACGATTTGGGTCTATCTGTTTCAAAAGAATTCCTCGGGAATATTGGAATGTTCGTTATATAGAGGTTCGTCACATCCAGCTGTCAAGTAACAACGCTGTCGATTGTGAAGGTAGAACCATCAAGAACAACAGTATATATTATATCCTGCTTTGAAAGCATCTCTTTGGGGAGGATGAAAAAAAGGGACGCTTTACTCGCAGCAAAACCTAAAAAGAGAAACAAGGGAGGAGAGAGTGGGAACCCTTCGAAAGCGGAAACCTCCTTATGTCCAACAACAGAGCTTCTGATTAGCACTAAATCTTCTAGGGCAAGCTTTAAGGCCAGGCTATAGGTCTCGAAAGAATTGAAAATTCTCGTCAGTTGCGTAGCATTAAAAAAGAATTGATTTCTGTTCGCTAAAGTAATGGCTTGTTGATAATTAGGTTATGCTTTGAATGATCATGTATTGAGGTATTTTTATAAGCGCTTGTACGTGTAGGGTGTACAGGGAGGAATGAGTATTTTCTATAAATAGAGGATACTTGGTATGCGAGTCATTGTCAATCGTTACGCTTGATTCTCTGTGTAAAAGTTCATTTTAGCTTGTAATTTTTATTTTTGTTCGTGGAGTTTTGGTTCTGGTTCCTACCGAAGTTTCCAATATTTTCCCCGCCCATTTTTCGGGTATTCCTTAGGGGTTTTTACCTCCATGGTCTCCGAGTGTCTTTTAGAGGCATATCCAAAACTCCCTTAACTTCCTCTCGATGTATTGTTAAATCTTATTTCATGCTCAGTCCGGGCTCCTAATAAAGCGTAAGCGGGTGTGGAGCGTTGGACACGCGCTACGAGGCAAGGCGCCTCTCCCTTCGCGCATGTCTCGCGCACCACACCCGCCTCGAGCCTTTTTTTTACTAGGCTGTAAGACGCGGAAAAAGATTAATTTTAAACGAGGCGTAGCGACCTCTAACGGCATATTTAACCAGAAATGCCGTTGGATATCATTTACTTTGAGTTCTTAATGTAGGCAAACCTGTTTTTAATCAAATGCGTCTAAAAACCACCAACACTTCTTTCAAGACAGTTTTTACTCACCTAAACTCTTCAGCATATCCAACTCGTATGTGATTTGCTACTACTGTACTGTACTCCAGAAAGTTCTTTAACACGTACAGTTGTTTATAAAGGAGAACAGCTTTTGAAGGAGATAAAGATCTCTCTGTCGATGAAACTAGTAAAGTGACTCTGTCCATTACTCGCTCAACAAAGGGCTTCTGAAAAATGAATAATAAAAAAAAACATCAGAAGAATTCCGAGTCTCCTATCAGAAACCTAAACCTTTTTTTCTTCTTGTCGCCATACTACCGGGTGCTTTCATTTGCGTTGTTATACACAACTTGTTAAAGATCAAATCGGTTTCCTTTTGCAAGCGCCCTTTTTTTATTCCCATAGGACTAAGTTTAAGCTGAAACGCGAGATTTAGAAATTGTTTTTCTGGCACTTGCGATGTAGAAGAAAATTGAAAAGATTCGTGAATTGAACTGAACTCGACAAAATTTTTCACGCTAGTGTAAGTACATGTATTTCGATTTTTCATGTCGAAACTTGGTTTTCTTTTGCAGCGAATCTCCTTTTAAACCCATGTAGAAGTGAAGAATAGGGTGCGATATCGACGCGTGAATTTCAGAATAAAGTTGTACAGTACTGAAACCTGAGTAATGTCATCAATCGAGCGAACTAACGACCACACAATTATTTCAAGTTACGTCCAGCATTGTAAAACCCTGCTTAAACTGTAATGAAAGGATCTCGTCGGCGACCGCAACCACTACTGTAAATTAATTTGGGTGCCGCACACCGAGTTTCAAGTGGGTTCCCGACAAATTTTTCTCTCACTTTAGTTGTTTACGACTTGAGTACTGCGGTTGCGGTGGGGGTTTTGTGTCCAGCGGTTTTAGTGAAAATAAGGTTTTGTGGGGGATGCTCAGTCTCGCGGGCTCACAAAACCTCCCTTAGGTCGATCTTATTTTGTATTTGCCGTGTACTTTCATCATCATTGCTTACACTGAAAGTTGTTCCAATTCAATACAACGGCTTACAATATCGAGAGACAAACGACGATGACTTTATTTGCGCGACTAGAGGTATGGCCAATCCATCTTCAGCTTTTGAACTCTTTCCGACTGTAAACGTCATTTTGGAGACAAAAACAGAGGTTCTGACTACATGACATACTATGGTGTGACTAAAGCCAGCGAGCAAGCTCTCCATTTTGAAAGGTAAGCGAAGCCATCCGCGAGATAACGCGTGCGGACAAAAGGTTCTTTCCCCGCCCCTCACTCTTCTACCTCTCCTTTCGCGTACCGCTCGCGCCTGAATTCAGTACCCCCAAGTTGATAGAGACCTTGCGCCCAGGCTAGAGTAGTGTGGCTATCGAGATGAACCCTTTTCAGCAGTACTTACATATGATGCTTTCACATTTCTTTAACATTGTTCAAAGTGAAATTTGTGATTTTCCCCACATTTTCATTTTAGCCACTAAAGAAGTGATTATCAACTCTAAACACTTGATAACTGACACTTACGGTTTGGTCTTGAACTTCGAGAATCTTCATAAGCCAGAAGATATTTAGAACATTGTCTTCAACTGAAAAGCAGTTGGCCTGAAAGGAAAAATTACCATGAATTAGGTGCATCTCAATTACTTATATCAGAATAATTTCGGGAAGATAAAAAACTGGAGCGTAGCTGGTGATTTTGTTGGGGAGAGAACGCCAGAATGAGCGGCGAAGCCGAAGGAAATTTTCCCCCATTCTTCGTCGCTCGTTCCCGCGCGGATTTGCGCCCGCGCTTTCCAAGAGAATGGCTTATTTCAAACAGCACCACATGTCCCAGTCCGCATAACTAAGTATCCTGACTAACTAAGTTATCCATCTAATGCCAGTTTGACGATAGAAACTCTTTTATTTACCTGATGGACGACACAAGTCAGCTCAAAAAGAAGCGAGGTAGCACTGTCCAAAATTTCTGTCAACAGCTTGTTCGTCTGAAACCAGTCAGAGGAAAATGAGAAAAAAACACAAAAACAGAAATCAATATGTCATGATTTTTTCAGTATTTTTTATTTTTACGTACTTGTTATTACGTGTGTCTTTGCGCAGGTCTCATTAATCTCCAAACGTTTAAATTTCTGCAGTGAAGTTATTTGAAATTGCAATAGTGAGTCTCAGTTGGGAACTGACAACGAGTCCCAGTACAAAACCTGATCGTCCTTGAAGTAAATCTATGAGCCTTCATCTAACCGGACGTTTCCAGTGTAATATGAAGTTAGTTTTTTCATAGCAAACCTTTGTATTAGGGAATTCGAAAACTAAATTACTCTCTTTGTAATTTTAAGCTAAACAAAAACGAAAAAGGAAAACGTTCTTATTTAAGCCAACCATTTGCCTTAACCAGTTTGGCGGATACTTTTTACTGCTTTCTTTTTTTTCGTTTCGTTCTCACTGTTATCGGAAAAAACGAATCAAGTTTGCGTTTCAAAGAATCAAGTTTATGTTTTAAAGAAACAAGTTCGCTTTCAAGGCTTCCTGTCTGTGGTTTCACCCTCGATATTTACCAGTCTTTCTATTATCCACTGTTTCACGTCAAAGAAAAATCAAGTTTTCGTATATGTATATTAAGCTTTATCAAAATGAACAAGTTCTTAAAACCTCGTCATCTCCTTCACCGACTGTGAACATGTTTCTGTCAGCTCCTGAAAGCAGCAGCTGTGCCGCGGGTGAGATGCTAGGCATTCCTGTTGGGGTGACTGTGGTCAATGGATGAATGATGAGGGTCTTTAAAAGGTCTTTAATTGCACGACCCCTGAAAAGAAAAAAAAATTACGTTATCATTTGATGAAAATTGTTGTTCCTTTTCCTGCCGAGAGCCCACCACGTGACCTGCAAATAACTGCCAACAAATAATGGTCTGCTCATGCAAAATGTCGTCCTACTGTGTTTGGCTTACGTGTTTGGCTGCAAATAATATTCTGCTCATGCGTAAATGAAACCACGCTTTTCTCCTTCTTGGAATCGCTCTTGGCAGAACGCTTCGTTTCCCGAAGATATTCATTAAAAAACAAACTCGCTGATCGAATGATAAAACAATATCACTTAGTGTGTATAATAATACTAATCAACAATATTCACCTCCTAGCGAGTGTATAATGTGTGAGCTCGGTTTCCGTTTCCCATTTTTTTAAGAGAACGATCTTTTAAAAGTCGACAAAATCCTAGGGTTGACTTTTTTTAAGGCAAGAAAAGACTTCGAAAAATACAAAACGGCGTTTTTCCATTAAATGAAGGTGAGTTTTGTGCTCGACGGATTGTTAACAACTTCCGTTTATTCGCGTAGAAGAGGCCATTTCGTGAACTCTACTTTTCTTCTCAGGTAAGGAAACAATTCAAACTTTTAACGGTTCCATCTTAAGCTATTACGCTGTTGTTTGCCGAGTGATAAACTTGTGAATTACCATGTTTGAAAATTCTGCAAAGATCTATTTTTAAACTTTCGCGTAATTTGATCCGTCAATCAAATCGTACTTTTTAATGGTTTCCTCTCTGATTTTGTTGAGATCACTTCGTGTGTATACACTAAAACAACTATTCTTTTCAATCTCGGTGCATAGTGGCTTTAGGAATATTTACCTCGCCGCTTTCGCGGCTCGGTGAATATATAGCCATTATTCACCTCAATTTCAAAGAATAATTGTTAAGTATATTATTTCACCTTTTAAATTTCAAAAATTTCCACATTTTAGCTTTCTAGTAAGGAGAAAAAGTAGGGCCAATTATACTAGGAAATAAGTAGGGCGCGGACGTCTCGTTTAAATAGCACAAAAAATGTCTTTATGTCCTACAAAAACGCGACTTGGCGAGGACGCCTTTTAACGCGTCTATAAATGTTGTCATTGAGACGCGCCTTATATTAGACGCGTCTTACTTCCCCCCCTGTATAAATGGCCCTGATGTTTCAAATGAAAAATGTCGGGTAAACAACTTACTTGTTATCTTTGATGACCATCAGTCTTGTGGATAGGACATCTGTTTCTCGAAACAAACAAACAAACGTCTGTAACAGCACTACAACAAAGCTGAGAATAAACAAAACAGCATGTCATGTCAGTAAAACTACAATAACGATGATAAAAATAAAATGATGGATTTGAACAAAAAAAAATTAACCCGCTTGCCCCTAGAAAATTTTGCTAAACAATGCCGTGTGAAGCGGGCCAAGCCGTTTGAGTTCTGGTCACTTTTCCGGTCAACAAGAGCCCAAATTATCAAAAATGTTGTTTATAAGTGCAGCAAATGCATTTGCTTTCTAAACTGGGGCATGCAGAGAAACGTTTGTGGGTAAGAAAGTTACACTGCAACCTTGACTTTTATCTTTCGTTTTGGCCGCGGGCTTCTTCGCCTATATTCTTCTTCTTCGTCTTTTTTAACTATCTTGTTAGATGATTTTTTCGTCCTTTTTGACTGTGGCAAGATTTTTTAACGAAAACGTTACGGATCCCCAAAATATTTTCAGAAAAGTTAGTAGGGCAAGATGATTCCATTCAAAGCAACGGCATATTTTTCTGCAAATATCTCTAACCTATTTGACAGAATCGCACACATCCATTCAGATATGGATGTTAAGGTGATGTTCCACGAGACGATTTTTAGCGCAACACAGCGAAGCAACATTGTTGCGTCATTGTTTTGAATGGTTACAACATGGTTCCTACCAACATTGCAACGCAGTGTTGCACTAAAAATCGTCGTTTCGAATCGTTCCGTGTAACATCACCTTTAGGCATCGAAGATACCGGTCTAAACTGATGACGTCACAAGTGGTACAAAGGGGTGTGGCTCCACACGTTACAGTTGTATGTTACGGTTGGTTGAGGTCTTCTGTGGCAGCAGAGGTTTCTCTCGGCGAGAAAAAAATGAGAGGAAGAAAAGAGAATCTCTCCTTAATTCCTTCCATTTTTCTCTCACCATGAGAAACCTCTGCTAACAGGGAAGTTGATGTTCAAAGGGTAAATTTTAACTTAAAACTGATGAAAAACCGGCAATTAGTACCCGTATATTGCATCAAATGGCTCTTACGCATGGTTACATCAGGCGAGCAAATTTCACCATCATTCCTCATTTGCAAGGAAAATACTACGCAGTTGCACTCTTTGTGCATGGACGTTCTTTTCAAAATTACTGCCTCGGGAATTCTTTTACGCAAACTTCGCAACTCGCAATTTCAATACGCGGCTTGGTGGTGAGATTTGCTCATTTGACGTAAACACGCATAAGAGCTATTCTCTCTTGTACATGTTGAGTTCCACTACATAAACGCTTACTCAAGTTCATCTTCTCTGTTGCTTCCTTTTCTTCGAGATGAGGAACGCCTCGGAGAATGGGGCATATATTTCTGAAGTTGGCCGACCATGAACAGAAAGAGATCTGAAGACTGAAAATGAAAAAAAAATAGTGTGTTTACTACAATCATGATTAAAAATGGCACTTGGAATGGAGATGATGTGAACTGCAGAAATACAAATTTAAATGAAAAGATATGATCATCCAGTGGTAATTGCAACTTAAACAATTGCAAATTAACCTTAAAAGATTTCAGAAAAAGACAAGAAAAACAATTAACTTTGAATTCACACCAAGACAGCACCTAAGCTTTCTTCCTTGAATAGCATAATTACCGTACATGTATGTCCCACCAAGTAACCATTTTAGGTGAGACAATTTACAAATTGACCACAATTTTCCATGGTCTACAGTCTTATAGACCATAGAAATGATGTCATAAAATGTTTAAAAGTCGAGAGCGGCGAGTGGTTTCACTGCAAAGTTTTGAATATTATATGACGTCATTTCTATGGTTTGTAAGAGTGTAGACCATGGAAAATTGTGGTCGATTAGAAGTTTCTTGGAAAATTACGTATGACATGTTATGTCATTTCCATGGACTATACCCTCACAGACCATAGCTCTCAACCATCAGTGTGAGAGGATTCGCTCAGTTATTGTAAAATACAAAAATGTGAGTCATTCAATTGGATGCATGATGTGCTACTACCGAAATTGTCCAGATGTGGTTCGTAGACTGTTTGTAGACTATTGAGGGACAACATACCTTCCAGAAATATTTTTTAAGGTTAAAGCTCTTTTCTGCAGCTGTCTGTAGCTCCTGGATGAGTACAAATGTCTTTTCCATGATGTGAGAGTGTAGAATTTCAGTTTTCAGTTGATTGAACAGGAGAAGCAACTGTGAACTACAAGAAAAAAAAAGAAACAGCAGATTGGAAAAATAGTCTGTCAATTAGAATAATAACAAACAACAGTTGTTGAGTGAGGTTTTTGTGAGGAAAAATCAAGGGTGAGGTAAGTGTTATTAGTGTGGCTGAATTTAATGACACTTAAACAGAATCTACTAATCCTTAAACCAAATCTAATAATATTGTTTTATTAAACATTATTTTAAAGAAAATCTTAACAAACACGCTGTCACATGAAACACAGTTTGACATTGCTCTACATATGAGTCTCTTATCTACTAAGAAATAACTATTAACTAATCTGTAGGCTGTGGTTATTTCTAAAATTAACTGTTGGCTCTGGAAGCAAATAAAACGTTTCAGACCTGTTCAGTTTCCATTCCCTCATCTGGGCCCAGTTGCTCGAAGCATCGTTAGTGTTAACCAGCATTTAATACCTTGACAACGTATTGGTTTTGATACTGCTTAACCAATGGTTAAAGCTAACCATGCTTTGAGCAACTCAGCCCTGTTCTGTATCTGTACCATACCCAAATCCCATACCCACCCCTACCCATTCTGTACCCACTTGTTTGGAGACGGAATGCATTCTGTACCCTTCCCATTTTGTACCTGTTTCCTTGGAGGTAGAACACATTCTACAGATGACTTGCTGACAGAAAAGAACTTTTGGAACCCATTAGAAAGAATGCGCTCCCCTGAAATTGTAGGTTGGTAGCTGATCCAAGGGGAGGGTCCCGGGTTACAGACCCCACCCCCCCATCAGAATTGACGCTTGTTTGAGACTGCAGGGTTGTACAGCTGTATATCACCTTTTAACTGGCTGATTTTTTTTTTATTGAAACATGTTTTGCAGTTTGCCACTAAACTAAATTCCAGGGTTATTAGAAAATGTAATTGTTTTGTGGTACCATCCTATGATCTATTCGCCTCTGCTTGCAAAGCAGTATTTCCCACGCCAATGGCGACCGGTGTTCACAGATTGAGAAACATGTGGTTGTCTCTGTGAGTAGTAATTTGCCACAAAAAAGTTTAACAGTCCTTTCTGAACCAAAGCTTGGACCCTCCCTCCCCACCCCCCAATCAAAATTTCATGGATCCACTTCTGTAAGTCATTGCTATATATTAAGGTTATCGTTACTGTGAGCCACAAAACACTATAATGGTTATTATTATATTGACGTAAATCAGTCTGAGACCTACTTGTCCACTTTGTTAGAAGGCACTGTGGGTGAGGTAGCTGGTGATGACCTTTGGCGGTCAAAATACAGTGTAGATTTCTGTAGAGAAAAGAGAATTGCTTAATTTTTTATGTGGTACTCAAGAAATGTGATGTACAAAAAAAAATGGGAAATTTATAAATTGCTTGACAAACAGAAATAAATTAAACTGAGAAGCTCTTATTCAAGGCAAATATCTACTCACTTGCTCATTTTCGAAACAAGTTACAAAAATGCTAGTTTTAAATATTGGAAGACCATAGTACACACTGAAAATTTCAGTGCAATATACTAAAATAAAATACATTTTAAAGTATGCCAGGTTAAATTAATCACTGTCTCAGAGAATACATGGGCTAATTAACATATTTTCCACCTTGCAATTTGCATTGCGAATATTTTCTTAAGGAAATGTGCTAATAAGGACTGTTGTCTTAAAATCACTACCATAAGTCCTCTATTAAGCCCCACGAGGGGCTTATTTACTTAAAGCCCATTTGAGGGGGGATTAATAGACATGGGGGGCTTATTTGAGAGGGATGACAATAGTATCAGTTCTCCATAAAGTACTAGAAGACAGAGTGGAAAAGTTCAAGTAAAGACTTTTAGCTCATGCAGCTGAGGATCAGAATCAAATCCAAACTTCCACTTGGTAAATAAAACATCCTGGATTATTCCACACAAAGTTTTACAGTTGTGATTTATTAATACAGTCTATCATTTATTAGTGAAGAATAATCAGGGGAGAGGAGGGAGCTTATTTGAGAGAGGGGGGGGGGGGGGCTTAATAGAGGATTTCCTGTATAAAACATGACACAGCACCAAAAATTGATTTCCTAGGAAGAGGGACATGTATGGAATTCACTCCCTTCCCTCCCTTGTTCTTTCTTGTGTAGTGCTAATGGGCCCTTCAGGGGCCATGCCCTGGACTCAATTTGTGCCCATAAAATGTATCTTCCTGAATTACAGACAAAATGGAAAACCTTACCAAAATGCAGTTATTCCATGTACTTCTTAGGTGAATAAACATGGGTGAATTTTCCGTAAGAATGTATAAATGAAGTTCTGTCACTTCAACATTTTCAGTAGTATGTGCATTGTTATCATCATCAGAGTTTTCTAGCTCTTCTGTTGATTCATTACTATAACTTCGAAACCGGCTTGAGCTGTCATATGGAGACGGTGCTCGCGGTGATGGTGGTCGATAGAGACTAGAGAAATCTGCAGAGTGCTGTCTTTGAAAACTGTTAAATGAAACTTCAAGTTCCGTGCTACTTGAGCTTGAGTCTAAATCGTACAAGTCCTTGTCACTTTGCTTTCTCCTCTGTCGAGGTGTTGAAGGTCTTTTTCTATGTGCCTGATCCACACTTCCTGCTCTGTATCTATGATTTGAATTGGACTGAGTGACTTGAGATTCATGACCAGGTGGTGGAGGAGGAAGAGGGCGTCGGCTGTTTGGTGACCCAATGCTTGCCTTCACGTTACCCACTGATCCAGAATACCCTTTCACATCACCTGCAAGTCCTATGTTTCTCAGATCCGAATCTGAGGCACTCAAGTGAAATCTACTTTGAACGGTAAGTGAATGCTTTGTGCATGGTTGGCTTTCAACTCTGACCATAGATTCTTTTGCCCGAAAAACAGAAGATTTACCATTATTATGTTCAAAGCTTTTAACTCTTAAAACTGGAGAAGTACTGAGGATGGATGCTTGGAGAGCTAGCCTGGATGACAAGCTGTTCTCATTGAAAGGAACACTCACTGACTGGATTGACGATGGAGATGACAATGACGGCTTGCAAATCTTTTTATACTCTACCAAGATATGCTGGTTCTTTGTTTTCAAGTCTCCCCCAAGAAACTCAGCAACATCATGAATCTGAAAGACAAAATCGCAAAAAGTATAATTTATTTTTTACTACAGGCGACTCTCTCTTACCAGACATCTCTAAAAGACACGCAGCTCGGTAAAACAGACACCTAGAGTTGGTCCCTGCCTTTGCTTTACTTCCCTTGATTTACTATTTCTTAATCCCAGATGGACACCTAGTGCCCATCCCAAAAGTGTTCCTCTTAGAGAGAAATATTAAGGGATGTTCTAGGTTTGAATTTAAGTGTTTTCGGCAGTGCAACAGGAAGTAAAAGTAATCTAAAAGCAGAAAACATTTCCTGTCTGGTGGAATTGAATCTGGCAATCCACAACCGAATACCTGCTAAGGATATACATGCACCTTGCAAAGTCTTATTGAAAGCACCACATATCGCAAGAAACTAACTGGGTGATTCAGTTAAAATGGACTTCAAAAAATAAATTAATTAATAAAAAATACAAACCACGTACATGAAAATGCTAGCACAGTAAAACATTCAGGAGGTGAACCACAATCTCTTTTCATTTAACAACGTGAATTTGGAAAACAGAGTTACTTGAATAAAATAACCAACAGTTTTTGTGAGAAAAGTTAGGTGCCAAGCAGTCTAAAACATTCCTGGACACTCAGGGTTTAACAAACTTCAAAGGCAATTAATATTGTTAAACATTTGTTCAAATTAGCCCCTTTAAAATCACTTTATTCACCAGAGGACGAATATTGAAGAGCATGCACTCCCTTGGGACCATGAAAACAAAACACAAAGTATTTGTATTACATATTAAAATATTCTCAGAGGAGCTGGTTTCATTTTAATGCGAGAACGATTTCAAACCTATTAAAAACAGCAAATTAAAATTGCGGACGGAAATGGGTCAAAAACAACGTAGTTACTAAAACCCGGAACGACCCACAACGACCCACAACGATCCACAACGATCCACAACGACCCACAACGATCCCACAACGATCCACAACGACCCACAACGATCCCACAACGATCCACAACAACCCACGACGATCCACAACGTTGCGTTACATAAACTGGAACTGATTGAGAGCAATTTACGCCCATGTGATTTTGTTATATAATACGTTTTCCTTCAAGTGTGGCACGGAATGTACTAGGTTTTTCAACAAGGATTTTATGAAGATGTTTTTAAGTTGGCGAGTTTCTTAACTCTGTGTTTTTACGAGGCTGGACAAATGTAAGTTTTCTGCAATTTGTTTTCGTTTATTTGACTGTCTTTTCGCTAGCTAAGGATTCCCTTCTAATTTTGTATCATTTCGCAATTTTTAGCTTCAGATTACCACATTACTACGTTCTACCGCGTTGTTTTAATAAATACTGAAAATCCAGCCTTTGCCGTGGTTTTGCTCCTTTGACCCATCGCCCAGCACTATTTTAAATAACGTCAACGTACCATTCAAATATACATGAGGTCTCTGCCTGTAAAGGGAAGCAATTACGCACAATGGAACTCGTGGTAGATATATACATGAGATCTCTGCCGTCTTGATGGTCATTGTCATAACACTGCAATCCCAGTTAAACCGCTAGCGCAGAAATGTTTACGGAGAACAAAGCTGATGAAACTTTTCATGTGTCTTATGCATATCTTTATTCGATGGTCGGCTGAAGAGACATCGATCGGACATACAAATGTGTCTCTGAATGGAGATTCTTTCTCGTGAAAAGCTGCATTTGCCCATTTATTTTGTCCTGTTTTTGACAACCCTATGAATGTGTTACCGGACTATCAAAGGTATTCTGGGTAGTTGTGAGTCATTATGTTTGCTATTCAGTATGCTTTTCAATTTTTGGAAAAAATTCAAAAGTTAAGTTTTTGATATTTTTTTCTTGGGTGGTTTCTTTCGTTGTGGGATCGTTGTGGGTCGTTTTGAGATCGTCCTCGGTCGTTTGAAGATCGTTGTGGATCGTTGTGGGTCGTTGTGGGATCGTTGTGGGTCGTTGTGGATCGTTGTGGGTCGTTGTGGATCGTTGTGGGTCGTTGTGGGTCGTTCCGGGTTTTAGTAACTACGTCAAAAACAAATATCCTTGAAATGTAACGTTATTTGTGAGATTACACTTCTTTATAATCGATAGCTACTTGAGTTAAAACTTCCATTCAAAATTGTCAGATCCAACGCCTGTTGCCAATTTTCATGTAAATTGCGCTGTTAATTTTACGTCAAGCTTGCTTGTTTTCGTAGAACGTAACAGCGCAAATTCTGAGTAACTAGACGATCTGGATAGAAAATATCGCAGAAACTTCGATGTAGAGATGTCTCATCAGTATGTAAACACAGTTGACAAATCGCTGCTGATAGAGTCAGATTCCTACGTAAACAACAACAAGAAAGATCTTGACCAACTTACCAACTCGACAGACGTAACGCAAGCTAGATCCAATTTGATCTTTATATCTTTCAATGACCTTGGTGGATTTTCTGTAATGTAAAGCATTTCATCGCCAAGCACGGCGAACTGAAACGTTTTGTTAAAGCCATCTGTAACAATCACACAAGGCTCAATTAGTCGAACTCCTTCGTAACGATCTTGCGGAAGTGTTCGCTTTAAAAAGCTGTAAACCTTCTGGTGCTTTTGAACTCCGTCTTCAAGACTTGACCCTGCCATGCAGAAAGCTCCAAAAGCACCAAACTCATCGAGAAACTTCCACAAAGCTGGCCATGGTCAGCGATTTTGCTCGCGGCCATAACGAACTGTCACGCGCGCAAGCTGTTTCCATTCTTCTCGTAATGGCCGTACGTCATATGATTGGACCAATGAGACATTGGCAATATTTGCGAGCTTCGCGCGCAATAGTCACGCAAACATTCCGTGGAGAAAACTGTTTTTTCATATGACGATTCAATGAAGAAAAATAAGGACAGAATAGTCAGAGTGAGCCGGTTTTTAAATTTTCTGATCGTTAACGGCTTCTCAAATTTGGAAATTTATAATGCGGACTTTCGATTTATTCTTTATTTAAATCACAATTATTGCAGCTGCGAGAAGAGAGGAATCACAAAACAAAACAAAAGAAGAAAACGTGATAATTTAATACCATTAAAGTGGACGAGTCTTGCGCCAATATTCCGCTAGAATTTTTTAAAAGAGGGTCTTCTAATGGATTAACTTGACCGTTGATGCACGATTTGTCATTTTGAAAGCGTCTAGTCGAAATAATAGACATTTGAGTTGGAGCCTATTTCGATTAAATTCCCGTCTATGATACACACAAAATCACCTGCATCCTCCACAAGCTTTTCAAGTATCAAAACGGGACTAAAACAGGCTTTGCGTCAGCGAACTGGAATTCATTTTCGAAACGAATCCAAGTTTACCTCACCTGTTCCAGAAGTTCAAATTACTTTTCTTTTCTTTTTTTCTCACTCTCTCTCTTTTTTTTTTTTTATTTTTCACAAGTGTTTCACTTTTCTTAACGCTTTAGCTGAGAATGGAATCCATCTGTCGCTTTTTAGTCGAGAACCAGCAAAAAGAAACAAGGCTGGGGTTACGTTCAAACGAGTTTGTGAAAGTTTAGAGAAGCGTCCAGACTAATATGTTTCAGCAGCTTCCACAGAGATAATATTAGCGTATTTGTTCGATTTAACACCGCATGTGGAAGAAAAATAACCAATAAACGCCGCCTTCGAATAACCGCCGCACCCAATCGGAAGAATTCGGAGTTTATTCCAGGATTATAGGGAAAAATCGGTACAACTTTGTCATCTACATCATTCAAACAATTACGATTCTATCGCAGCAAAAAGAGCGAGACAATCAAACTTTTTTATTTTAGTTTTAATCAGTTTAAGAAATGGAATTTTGAAATACCGTAAAATTCCGAAAATAATCCCCGGGGCTTATATTTTTCAAAGGCCCTTTTTGAGGAGCTCAGTTTTGGAGGGCTTATATTTGGGTTTCAAAATCGATTGGGCTAGCCTTATAGCTGGAAGGAAATTAACCGTTTTTGCTTTTTTTTACTTTGTATTTGAGGGCAATTTCTAAGCACAAGTCCCCCCCCCGGGAGGAGGGGCTTATATTTGGAGGGGCGATTTAACGAAGGGTTTGTTGCGTTACCAGTTTCGGAATTTTACGGTATACAGCGCCCTTGAATAAAAGTCGCATCAAAAAACGCCGCGGCGTTTAATTTCTTTCACTAGACTTAAGCAGTACCTCACCACACCTCAGCATTGTCGTACAGGCGAGCGGCAAACGCACACGCGCGAGGGATAAGACGAAGGACATTTGCCTTGCTCGCTCGCACGTAACATGCTCGCCGGCGCGACCATGTTGAGGGACTGCTAGACTGTAGTGGTATATTCAGTTGGCTCACTAACTAATCCGATCTACTGAAATATTACATAATTGTACGTGGTTCGTTTGCAAATAAATCAAATCAATCAAGAGTCTTCAAAGCCAATCACATTACGGCTTTTGACAGACGACCAGTTTGGCTTAATCGACCAATAAGGACACTAACTAGAGTTTTATGTCAGACAGCATGTTTGTATGTACGTAGTCTGAAAGTCATCCGTCTCTTTGTTTCTTCGCATCCAAAATGTGATCAAGAAAGCTTTTCTACGCTGCTTTTACTTTCAACCTCGCAAAATAGAACGCCTGCATGATTAGCCTGTACACAAACGTTACTTTCTTTTACTTTTCGAAAATCGACGAGTACGCGAGCGAAGCGAGTGCGCGAGAGTGAGCGCGTAAGGCGAGAACTAATGCCCTTGCGATCAAAAAATCAGACGCAGTTTTAATTTTCATACGCCCCCACGACGATCTCTAAAGAAAAAATAGTGGCTCTTTGAACACGCTACTGAATGATCACACAGGTTACTTTGTACCTTTCCCACCACAGGAAACGACTTTTAATAATTCTCATGATACAACCATAATTAACACTTACTGGACAAGGTTTCGCAAAATATTGTGATTTGTCTGTGGCGAGTAGATCAATTATTTGCCGAAGCCGAAGGCCGAGGCAAACAATTGCCATCTGCGAGACACTGACAAATCACGATATTTTGCGATAACCGAGTTCAATAACTTTTTTATCATTCGATCACCGAGTTTGTTTTTTTTTTTTAAGAAAATCGTTGGGAAGCGAAGCGATCTGCCATTTTCACGTAACAGCGATCGCAAGAAGGAGAATAACGCCGTTTCCTTTACGCATAAGCAGAATATTATTTGCAGCCAAACACTGTTGGACGGCATTGCGCATGAGCAGACCATTATTTGTGGGCAGTTATTTGCGGGTCACGTGGTGAGCTCTCGGCCAATGAAAAGAAAGAAGAATTTGCTTCGAATGATAATAATACCTTATTTACAAAATTGATTTAAAAGTCAACAAAAATCCTACAGAATGATCAGCACAGGTAGACCGAAAAACTAATTCGGGTTTAATCTTCTTTAGGTTACAAGTTGACCATGGGGAGCAGTGCGGAGGTACAATAACCATCACCATCTGCATCATTTCTTGGCGGCGGCATCAGAGATCTGTGTGTCAGTCCGCAAAATAGATCATGGTTACACAGTTCAGTTGTTAACGCTGTCCTGCCTATCTGCCAACTTCGTTCCCAGGGTTCTAGGAGAGAACCTGGGAACGAGGCGAGGTTGCCTGTCTGCCTGATCTCCTGTTTCACTTTCATTTACACTTTCATATCGGAATATCTTTTATACACGCAAGAAGTATTCTGTAAAGCAGTTAGTGTTGTGTTGTCACACAACACTTCGGTTCCGCGCTTCTCAGAAACGGTTAGGACTGCTATGGAGGCTAGGGTTTAAGATTTACGATAGTGGTCATAAAACCCAAGCTCTGTTTATATGCAGGAAAGCTGTCACGGAAAAGAAGGTTACCCGCCCAACGGAGAAGGTCAACTACAGTGAGCGTTTATATGAGAATAAAAGTTGGCCCCTTTGCCCTAGTTAAGGCTAACAACAGTGCGCGCGCGTGCTTGACCGAGATGGCCCGGCTGGGCGAGCCAAAGTGTTTATATGGAGACAAGTTGGTACGGCTAGGAGGATGGCCCTACGATCGAAAAAGGATGAACCGGCTAGGCGGTGTTTCTCATGTAAACAGCTCGTCAAGTTTGTAGGGAAATGTATGAAAAGTTGGCTCGCCCAGGGCAGCTCCGTAGGCGAGCGATCCTTCTAGTCCACGTTTTTCTTCATATAAACGGGGGCTCACATTTAACAGGGATTTTAATCACTGGTTACTATAATCACAACAACACACAGCGAGCATTCACTGTTCTTCCCCGTACAGTCCGACATATTGGACTTTTAAGATCAATTCCAAAAGTGCGAGGGGATAATAACATTTCATAGCATACTGCACAGTGGCTGGCACACCTCAGTAGATTGCTGACTACTGGCTAACAAAATCAAGGACAAGGACGAGGACGAGATTTCACTTGAAGTTTTTTTCGCGTATTTTAAAAAAATATACAACCCGGAAAACTTCTGGGTCCAGTTATTCGAAGGCCGGCGATTAGCGCTAACCTAGGGTTAAATTTTAACCCAGGTCTCTTTTTCCTTTCATCAAAAGCGTTTTCTCGGACAATTTTCTCTATTCTTTTTAGAGTAGCCAATCATCAAATTGTTGACAAAAAGAATTAAACTGAATTTGCTTTTTAAGCTTTTATGTCTGAATTCAAATTTCGAACTAACACTGGGTTATCTTAACCCATCTTTGAACAACCCGGCCCTGGGTACTTTTTTTTCCACCAAAAAAGTTAGCACGGTTATTTTTATTGACGGAGGTTAAGCCCTCTCCCGATCACAAAACGATAAAACTTCTACCATTTGATAACTTGTTTCCGTCACTACAACAATTTGGCTAAAACCCGTATGAGAATTAATGACAACGGCTATCAAGTTTTCCCGCAGAAATGACGATGATGTACTCTCGCGCAATACTTGGTACTAAGACAATCTTGTCCACGCAGTTGTCCTTCTTTTTCGAATCTAAAGGTCTCTACTGACTGAGCTTGGAGCTATGACTCTTGTTATTATACATCGTACTCACTATCTGTCTTCTCATTGGCTAAGAGCCTACAGCTAATTTTGGAAATCAGCGCAACCTAGGGTGCTTACCATTTTACAGAAAAATCCGGTTGGGTTGTCGAAAGCATAATGGTAAACGATTTACCAGTTAACCGCGGAAATACCACATTCGTTACGGTTTGAATCCAAAAAAGGGCGAATTTGTGTTGCGTGAGTCTGGAACCGAGAAGGAACCGAGAAATTAGTTAATGGTAAGCAACATTCCGTTTGGTTCGTACCAACCGGAATGAACGGACTACCTCAAAACGTACTCCTCAATTTTCGGTTGGAATTTCCGAAAAGTGACCTTACCATTTACCTTCCATCCGGAATTTTCGAAATTTTCTGTCAAATGGTAAGCACCCCTACAGATTAGTTAGTTGTCTACCAGCAGATAACTGACTAATCTGTAGGTTGCGCGAGCAATGCATGATTTCCAATAACAATATTAATTCAGGTTCCTTGCGACGAAGTGTTTGTGGTCATTTTCTTCAAAACAATGTATAATAAAACAATTATTGGATGAGGTTTTTGTGATATCCTCAATAATCAAGGTCTCGGTAAGTGTTATCAGCGTCGGCCTTCGGCTCGCATGATAACAAGTACCTCGACCTTGATTATTCCGGAAATCACAAAAACCTCATCCAATAATTATTTATAATTACCGTATATTTTTCCCATGTTTTCTCAGGATCATAAGGCTCCCACCGGCTAGCGGGGAAAATGTGTTTATTCCTCTCGTACCAAGAACGCAGAACCACCTTCCCCGCATGTGACTGCAAGAAGAACAGCGAACAGATTAGCGATAACACAAATTTTCCATGAGAAAGATGTTTTTGTCAGTCAGTGACACAGGCGACTCGGAAGAAAAATTCCAAGTACACCCAATAGAAGTCGAACCTGTGAGCTTCTGGTTATTAGTCTACCACTACCACTGAGCGTCAGGAGGGTTATAGGTCGTTTCGATAAAAAGTCATTTCGATACAAGTTTAATCAGTCGAGTTGTAACTTGACTTAAAGAACGCAGAATATTCAGCCAAAATGTTTTTCTTGTTCACGCGCAAATTATTCTACTAAGTGAAAGAACGTTTTGTGCAATTTCACTGCTTGCGTTCGTCTTGAAACGACTTGTATCGAAACGACCTGTTTCCTTTAGGAGACTTGTGGGATTAATTTCATTTCACAGAAAGATGAGTTCATAGAGGATTTAACAGCTGATTTTCATTTTAAGACCGCATAAACAGTCAAGAATTATGACAGATGATAGTCAGAGGAGTGATGTGTAAAACATCTCGCCAAGAGTCTGGCCTCAGCGGTATTTCACACGTGAGATACTCAAACAACGTTATTGAAAGGCTTGTACTTAGTATGAAGACGCCAAGTTGGTATGGTATCAGGTCGATCCGACGATCGCCCGATGTTAGCACTTGGTATAAAAAGACTTGGAATGCAAGAAAGCAAGCACTAGGCACGGGACTAAGGCCCTGTTTCTATGGGAAAAAGTTGTCCCGGGAAAGAGGGTCACCTTTGGCCAACGTTTACATGAGAATAAAGATGACCCCTTTGCCCGAGTCAGCAGCAAGAAAGCATGGCCCGTCTACGAGGGAGCCCCGGCTAGGTGGGTCATTCTTCTAACCGAGACAACTTTTTGTTTCTCATGTAAACTGTTCGTCAAGTTTTGTAAGGAAATGTAGGAAAAGTTGGCTCGCCCGAGACAGGTTTTCTCCATAAACACGGAGGCTACAGCCAGCATACGGGTAAATGGACCATTTTCGATATATTAAAATTCATACTTGGCTCCAAACAAAAGAAATGTATCATTCATTTTTGAGCCTCCAGATGATTTCTTTTGATTTTGATGATTTCTTTCAAGCCTCACAGCCAAGTACAGTGAAACCCCGCCTTACGGTCACCTCGCTATTACGGCCATTTTTTTTGGCCGCCTGGCAAAGACCGCCACAAATTTTCTTCTCCAAAACAAAAAGACCATCGTTAATACGGTTACCTCGTTAAAACGCCCCATTTTTTTTGACCGATTGGTGACCGTATTAACGGGGTTCCACTGTATGAATTTTAATATATCGGCATTGGTATATCGCGACGAAAAAAAACGACGCACCCTGCTTCAGATGTTTACGCTTACACAAGAACATGGCGAAGATTGCCATTTTTACGAAAGCAACCAGCTATTATTTCCGGAAAGGTGACTACTGGAGCTTTGACTAGTTCAACTGACCAACGTAAATAATCATTGTGCTTTTGGGTGTAACAGCAGTTTTACCGACCTCATCTTTTTCCACGGAAGCATCACTTGTCATTCTGACATCCTCATGAACATCAAAACTGAAGAGCGGCCCACTTTTGCCACGAGCCTTGTTGATAATGAAGTCATAGAAAGTGTAATGCTGCAAGATCAGAAAAAACCGCGAACGAAATTAGCATGACTTTGTTCTGTTTTTACCAATTTAATCGTTACAATTGAGCGACTAAATATGTAACAATTATTGAATGAGGTTTGTACAAAATAGAATGAAGACATTAATTGTACTCACTTTCTTCCTTCTCACTGGCTAAGAGCCTACAGTTAATTTCGGAAAACGGCGCAAGCTACAAACTAGTTAGTTATCTGCTCGCAGATTAGTGTCTTATCTGTAGGTTGCGCGCGCAATGCATCATTTCCAAGGGCAATGATGCGATGTTGTGTTTATCCTTATTTTCTTTAAAACAATGTATAATAAAACAATTATTAGATTCAGTTTTTGTGATATCCGAAATAATCAACGTCTCGGTGAGTGTTATCAGCCTCCACCTTGATTTCTTCGGGTATCATATCCAAAAATTTAATAAAATTGTTTTTTAGGTAGAACTAGTTCAGTTTTTCATTTTTTTAAAAGGCTAATTACTCACTTGGGGAATTATAAGATCCTCTTTTACATACATCAAGTTTTCCGTAGTGATAGCTCTACACGAGGAAAAAAAGCGTCAAAAAGTTGTCACCTTTATAACTGTCGAAGAGAACGTAAGTTGACAAAAGTGCTTACCTGAATTCAGTGAAGTCTTTCCTAAGTTGCTCAATGCATTTTTGAAGAAACTGTGAAATTTTATTGCCTTTTTTCATCTGACGATAAGAAATAGCAGAAATATTATCTAACATCTTCATTCCATGATGTTCATGACATTCGCTTAAGAAATGAAAATCAGTTCTTTTGTACATTCAACCGTTTGGCTCCGAGTCTTGTATTATTCTAAATTTTGAAACTGTGAATGAAATCCTATAGTGTGACCATTCAAATGAAACCTCCTTAGCAGTACTTTTGCACGGAACAAGAGGACGGCAAAATGTTTGTGTGTGACAAACGTGACTTGATGATTACTTGTGCGTTCGTTTAACATTACTGTGTTTTGGTCTTTTACAAACAGATCAGTTTAAAGGAACGTGACGTTTGGCAGAAAAATTTTCCAAACAAAATTAAATTTTCACGATTGTCACACGGGGTTTACCCTTTCCTCTGCTCCCGGGGGAGGGGGGGGGGGGGGTACTCCCTTATATAAGCTATATAGGTATGTACCGCCCCATCGGGGTGGGTTTTTTGGGCCGTTTTGGTCTAAAAACGGGTATACACTTCGCCCATTTTGGTCTGGAATCGGGTATGGTTTTCGAGGGAACTGCGGGAGCGTATGAACGTATTTATCGTTTCAACTCCAAATGAGTAAGAAAGAAAGAGAAATATGCGAATTCCAAATGAATTTGAATAATTTTTTTGTTTGCACTCTAATCTAAGTAATGATAACATAATTTCTGCCTAAAGGCCAGGTCTGAAAACGGGTATGAATTTCAGAGGTCTGGTCTGAAAAAGGGTGGGGAAAATTACATTTTTTGGTCTGAAATAGGGTCAGGATTTGGAGAACAGGGCGGCACACCCCACCAGGAATTCCCAGGAGCACCCCCCCCCTCCCGGCCCTCTGCTGTCCTACCGCATAAGTTCACTATTCCCTAGCCTGCTTGAGGCCCTCAGATAGTGGGGAAGACAGGGTGCAAAGAAAATCATTTTTACAGCTTGCCATTCGGGCAAGCTGAAGCCAGCATTTACTAGCCCAGACGTCATTTCAACTAGCCCCCAAAACGTTTTGACTAGCAGAATTGATTTCACGGTTCTTCTGTAATTCGAATTCCTGAAAAAACATCACTTGCCCGTCAGGCAAGTGAAAAAAAAGAATTCATTAGCCCGATAGTAAAGCCCTGGGCTATTGGACACTACTTTCTTTGCACGCTGGAAGACGCGAAAGTTGGCGCCTCCTCTCCCCAGTTTCCTCCCGTTTTATTTTCGTCTTCGCACTTTCTCAACGGACCCGACAATCTCGGAGCCTGGAACAGGCTAACTATTCCCCAAATGGAGAATTTGCTCGCAGACTACATGATTTGCTCTTGATAGTGCTCTAGGTTCTATTGAGTAACAAAATAAAAATGTAAACTACTTCAAAATAATTCAGAGTTGTTAATCAGTGATGTCTTTTTTACCTTTAGTGTTCTTCTGTGTCCTGATCCATCCCAATAACTATATGTAATTTCAACACCTTCATCTACAAAAACGCAACAAATTATATGTACCTGATTAACTGAAATAATTAACGTTGACTACGACCAGAGTAACAATACTTAAAAAATTTGGTATTAGAATTTTCTGCCAGGTCGGACAGTTTTGATGATATCTGGGTGACGTAACTATATAACAGTGCTTACTTTTAATTTTCTCCTGCTTCTCAACCCATTCTTGCCGTATGTGTTCTCGCTCTTTTCTTTCCATCTCCTGTCTCAAAAAGAACCATAAAATCCATTAACAATGTAATCATTTATTTTGAAATATAACCATACCAGACGGCCTCTTCTCCATATGCCACTGGTTACCCATTTCCCTGTGAGGAAGAGTTGTACATAGGCACAGGAAGACCACTTTTGTGTCAGCAAAATTACACAGTCATGTGCTACAGAATACAGAATACCCACCTTTCATAGGCAGAGTTTAACATGTGCACTGGAAGACTATCTCGATGCAAAGTAGAGTACGGGATGGCCAAGGCAGAATTACCCGAGAGAATAAGATTAATACCCTTAAGTAAGGTAGAGTTGTACATGGGCACAGGACAGCCACTTCAAGGTAACTAGAGTTACATTTGTAGTGAGGCTGCAAGGTTATGTTTGTCAAAGCCATTAAATGCCATTTATCATTTTAGATTCCTTTTGATAAAATTACAAGGACACACATCTTTTATATAAATTTACAATCTCAAAAGTAAAAATATAATTTGGTTGCTTATGTTTCCTGTGCTTAACCTAGAGACTATTTTTTTTATGTGTGTGCTTTTCAGAACTTAAAAGAAAACATAACCTTTTAAAGTATTTCCCACTCTCACTTGTCATCATTACCTCTCTTTCTCTATCAGGCAAAAATGATGTATCTACATCTGGATTTTTTCCTGGCTTCCTCTTCTTTAAAGGGACAACTGCAAGAAATCAAAAAAAAGCATCATCCCGACCATTACGATTACCACCATTACATTTAAGGAAGGAAGCATTTTGAAAACATTGTTAAAGATAGGGTGATAGTGATTTATTGTGAAATCACCTTGGACTGTTAACCCTTTTAAGTCCCACGAATGACCAACATCAATTTTCTCCTAATAATATCCATACATCATAACGAAGGCAAAAAGGTCATGAGAATTACTAAAATGATCAGCCGGGGGAAAATGCTTTGATCTTTAGTCCAATTTGTGCAACTAATTCTCGAAGGAAATGTAAAGAGATCAATCTGGAGTTCTAATCTGTTTGCGGATATAAGCAACAACTCTGTTAGCACTTGACAACAAGCATTAACTTCTTGATTAAATTTAGGGGTAATACATACAAAAGAACTAACACATGGTTCATTAACTTTGATGTGATAAGTAATGTACAAGAAAACCATCCATTTTGTTGTTACCAGGTACAACACTACTCCAACACGACTTGCTACGGGGCAGCTTAAGGTTTAAAGTAACTTTTTAAGCCAAGACAGAGTAGT